AAATATAAAAATTGCAATATTTTATAAAATAAATATCAAGCCACGCTAATTGTTGAAGGAATTATTTAAAAAAATATATAAAAAATGGAGATTATATTCATTTCAAAATATTAATCGAAAATTTTCTACTGACCATAAGATAGCCCATATCTTAAAAAAATCATTGACTTAGTTTTTAATATTAGATTCAATATTCAATCTCATTCAGTTTTAAAAACTAGTTATTTAATATCAGTTAAAAGCAAAAAAAAAAGAGGATTTTTGAGACTTTAACCCCGATTTTTTCCAATAATATGGTTGCTAATATGTTAAAATTTTGCTAATGGTTTAATGCGAACATATATAACCCGCCTCTTTATCGAAATTGTAAGGGGTCTCTCTTGATTTTCTAGCTCATTTGACATGGAGTTTATTTATAGATATTTTGTTCAAAGATTAATATAAAAATCAATTTAAATATCTTCATCAGTTATTGGATCGGTTTTGTATGAATATCAGTAGTGTTGTTCTAGAGGCATGCCTTTGATATTAAGACACTTTATCGTATTTATCGTCCAACTGGTCCAATTCGTTCAAAATGGAGATTAACAGGTTTGAAATGGTTTATAAATACAGATATAAATTATTTAGAATGTAAAATACAAATAATAAAAATTATATTTTATCAAACACATTTGAATTATATATTAATTTAATATAAATCGATGGTTTATCAGAAAATTCCAATTTATCAATGATACAATTATTATATTGTGCAGTCAGTTTATCCAAATTTGTTTTTTAAGAGTCATTCCTAAATCGATCTGAACCTTCTTTAGCTTGAGATATCTATGATTCAATTGTATATAAAAGAATAAATATTTAGTTGGGATGCCTTCACCTACTTTTTTTAAGGCCGAATGCCACCCTTCAAGGTGATTGTTTGTGCGGGGACCACCAATTGCATATTTAGTCTACATCTCCATCGCGAACATTGAATTGTGCCCATAAAGAATAAAATATATTATTAATTTTTCCTGTCCAGGCTCCAATATATAGAAACAAAGGATTTAAGTCAATATTATTCATACAGAATTAAGTTATACTTATATCTAGGACATAATCAATATCCTCAAGCTTGAGAAGAGGTAAAATGCACATCCTCCTTACAATTTTTCTGGCTATAAGATTTTCATGGTAGATTTTTTTTATCAGTAGAGAACTATCCTTTCTCCAAGCCCTTTGAATAAAGTGGAAAAAACAGCCTAATTATAAGATAAAAAATGTAATGAATATTATTAATTAACCTTTGATTTGTATATTTATAAATACATCATACAAGGCCTCTATGTCTGCCTGTTCAAAATCTAATAACATATTTTGGTATTAGTATAAAGTTATAGTCCTCACATATCTCTTTTATCATTTGGAAGAGTTTTATATATGTGGTTTTACTTTTATTTGGCAATAAAGCATACCATATGCTCTTTATAATAAATATGTAAAGTATATAATTGTTTGTTAATTTTTGGGGGAATAAAAAAGGTACCATCCATGTAGATGGTTTCAGCCTCTGCAATGATTCTAATAAAATCATATGAAGAGAATATTAGAATCTCATTATTATGATTAGCTAAGAGGAATGGCTGCTCTCAAACGTTGTATATTCTAAAGGCAATATTAGCTCATCTGTTGTTGAGGCAAGGATGAACGTGACTGCTTAATCATTTAGCATAGTTTATTGAAATGCACAGCGTGGAAGTGCATTGGGGAAGTTGGAAATATCTAGGACTAAGAAGCCTTTCTGTTAAAATTTTGTTATATAATCTTTCTTGATTCAAGTGGGTTCGATTTCATAGCAGCTTTGAGGCTAGTTCTTGTTTTAAGGTTTTAGAATTCATCCTTTTCCTTTTTGTATGTATGTTCTTTTTTTAAATCTGATTCTAAATATTGCACATCCATAAATTTTGACAAAATTCCTAGAATAATTTTTAAATATACAGAAATCCTTGAGTATTGAATTATATATGATATATGTTAATTTTTATTCCCCCAAAAATTTACTAACAATTATATAGTTTTCATATTTATTATAAAGAGCATATAGTACCATATATGCTTTAGAGCCAAATAAAAGTAAAGCCACATATATATAACTCTTCCAAATAATAAAAGAGATATATGAAGACTATAACTTTATACTAATACCAAAATATGTTAAATTAGATTTTGAACAGGCAGCAATAGATGCCATGTATGATATATATAAAAATACACAAATCAAAGGTTAATTGATAATATTCTTTACATTTTTTATCTTATAATTAGGCTGTTTTTTCCACTTTATTCAAAGGGCTTGGAGAAAGGATAGTTCTCTACTGATAAAAAAAATCTACCATGAAAATCTTATAGCCAGAAAAATTGTAAGGAGGATGTGCATTTTACCTCTTCTCAAGCTTGAGGATATTGATGATGTCCTAGATATCAGTATAACTTTGACCTGTATAAATAATATTGACCTAAATCCTTTGTTTCTATTTATGGGTAAAACCTGGATAGATAAAATAAAACTATATTTATATTTTTTTGTAGGGCACAATTCAATGTTCTATAGATGTGGAGTAGATATGCAAAGGGTGGTCCCCGCACACAATCGCCTTGAAAGATGGCATTCATTCTTTAATAAGTTGGTAAAACATCCCATCCAAATATCTATTCTTTTATAAAGCTTATACAATTGGATCAAAGGAACCTCATGCTAACGAAGGTTCAAATAGATTTAGGAATGATTCTTAAAAAAACAAATTTGGATAAGCTGACTGTTATAATAATTGTATCATTAATAAATTGGAATTTGCTGATAAATTGGCTTATATTAATTTAATATACAATTCAAATGTATTTGATGATATATAATTTTTATTATTTGTATATTACATTCTAAATAATTTATATTTGTTTTATAAACCATTTCTCTGTTAATTTTTGAATGAATTATATGAAATATAATGGTGTTTTTACTTCCCATTATATCATGTCATCTTTTGTATTATTAGTAATTTTGTTATTTAAAATTACATTAGGGTCATTTCACGTCAAATCGACCAAAAAAACGAGATTTTCGGACGACCATCTTTAAAATGAACGATACTTGGCATGATAGTTAATTGTGTTGTATATGTGAATAAAATCAAAATTTAAAGTGCTAGCTCATCCAGATTACTACAAAGTTGAAAATCGCGAAGTGTGTAATTTCATTAAATCTTGCTTTTAAAAATACTTAAGATAAAGTTACGAATTATATATCATTTTATAACTCTTAAAATTTTACATTGGAAAATATCGAAAAAAATTATAAAATTCAATTCCGGTGAAAAATAAAAAAACTAACATTGTTAGGAAGAAATTTTTTTGGGTGTTGATATTCTCTAAAAATGTTTATATCCCACAATTGAGGAAAAGATATGGTTGCCCATTATTCAAATAACGATTATAAATTCTATAACAGTGACAGGGCGTACTTACAAATTATTGTATCAGGAAAGTCTATTAATGAGTTTAAAATGGGATAAGATTAAAACAAGTGGTTTTTTAAAATAATTTTTGTATATAAATATGTTTATTTAAAAATATATCTGAGCTGCCACCTTACTTATTGTCCCAGGATATCATATTGGTTATATTTTATCGATTTATTTAATTTTAATACCAATATAATACATATTATTATTAAATATATTATATTATAAAATCGTTTTAATATAACGCCATCTATATTGTCTTTTTTATTTATAAAAATTTGGATAAAATTAAAAAAACAAAAATGGTTATCGAGATTTTTTATTAAATCGATTAATATAAAGGTTTTTAGTGCATATCAACACCCAAAAAAATCCCATCCTAACAACGGTAATTTTTTTTACCTTAAATAAGAAAACACTTTAAATTTTCTATTATTTTTCGATATTTTCCAATTTAAAATTTTAAGGGCTATAAAATGATATAATATTTGTAACTCTATCTTAAGTATTTTTAAAAAAAACAGCACTTCGCGATTTTCGACTTTGAAGGCGTATATTTTTATATCTGGTTGAGCTAGCACTCTAAAATTTTTATTTTTTTAGCATTTACTACATAAATAACTAACATGCCAAGTTTCATTCATTTTTGAGATGGTCAGCCAAATCAATGGTTGATTTGTCATGGAAAACTACCCATCACTAAATTGATTATATCTAGTTAGATTGCTAACTTTGAATTATAGATTAATTCTTCTCTCAAGAAGAATTTTGATGTTGTTTGACTCCATTTTAATTTATATTGATATGATTATAAATTAAAATAATTTTAAAATATTGTTTATGCCACACTTTAATGGACCAATCACAGAATTGGACAAAACTATACGATGAAGTGTCCATACAATAATAGGCACGGAATTCATTAAACATCTTAATTTTTAAAAATAGTTTAACCCAATATTTTAAACAATATATAAGCATAGATGGCAGAAAGGTTTGGATATCTATTAAAAAATTCTTAAGGCTTAAATCTTTATTTGAAATTAGTGAAATTGAGCTGTTTAACATTAGATATACATTTGTTATAAGCATATAGATTTTCTTAACTATACATTATTTTAAGACAAATAAAGAAGCAGCATATCACGAGATCTTGTTGAATTTAATAACTGAAGGATTGAGTAGATATTATTTATTAGGTGCAAAAGTAATTTTTTAATTAAATTAAAACTTCCATTCTCTGAGTAGGATGTTCTACAATATAAAACATTGGGTGGTTAGTTGGCAAGCATGTTTAAAGATTTCAAAAAATGTAGTGGGTTGGCAGGGTAAAAACATTTATACGAGTGAATGGGCTTGTTGGCTAAAATCACCACATTGCAGCCTTCTAGCTCTAATCTTAGCTGACTAGTTATTTATTTTACTTAGTGAGTATTCCAGGTAATTTATTCATAAATACTTTATTAAAAAAATATAAATTATAATTATTTACAGATCGTTCAACATCTTCATTTATGAGTAAAAAGGCAAAAAGCTTTATATCAGAATTTAGTTCAATATCAATAAAAATGGATTAATAAATGTTTAAAATTATATTTTATTTCTACAAATTATAGAAATCCTACGTTCTTTATTTATTGTACTTCCTTTGAATAAATTACCTGTTGCTAATATTTCATGATTAAAATTATATCTTGCAAAATCTCTTAAGATTATAAATAAATATATAAATAATTGTCAAATTTTACTTGATAATATAAAGTGATTTTGGAGGTATTAAAACATCTATGATGGCATCTTCATTTATATGAGATAACCTTAAAATGGAGGCAGACAATATACTTAAGGTTGCAATTATATTACCACAGAACTTATTATATGATTAATTATCTATAAATTTTATTTTACCTTAATGCTGTCTACATGTGGTTTAATATATCCATTTTTACTCAAATCTAAAATATGGATATAGGGAATAATCATATTTTTATCTAGAAATGCAGTATCCTTAATTTTATCTATTATTTTAGTATTGTTTTTATTCCAGCTTTTTTTCTCTGTTTCCCGATAGCCAATTATTGCCTAGTTATGATTATAATTAAACAATAAATTATATTACATCATCCCAGTGATCGTTTTCATATATTAAATTTTTCAAAAATGGATCAATTTCTTGAAACAATGACTTTTCTTCTAGAGTAGATATAAAATCTTCATGTATGAATAAGCTATTTATAAGCTTTTCCTTTATATCTTCTTTACATCTAAAATCTATTAACTTATGATTTAACAAACGTTTAATTATTATGTTTGACAAATTTGTATTAAGCATATTTATTTTTGAAATTCATAAAATTAAGATTATTGGCTAAATATACGAAAAAAGAAGATTGATATTACACAATAGTGACAGGTTTTAATATAATCCTCAATTTTTTATTTATAAGGCGTCTCTGAATATCAACTGATGATACGCCATGACTTCCCGTATAAATTTTCTTATTTTAAATGAAACTGATATAGAAATATTTTTACAAAATCTTAATGTAAACTTTAAACTGTTTAATTGGAAAAGGCGTGACGTCTTCTTATTTCTATTCAGACATATTTAAATGAATGAATCGGCAGACTATATGTTATTATCTAAGATGAGGTGCTGAGATTTAAGATAATTTGCCAGGGGCGTCGATAGCCTCTTACAATATGTGGTCCTAAAAGTTGCTAATTTATTTATAAAAATGTGTATTTACTTATTGACTCTATTTATATTTTTTTTCAGGAGACCATGGAAGAATGCCCATTACTCTCAATCCCCTCTATAAATAAAACTTATCAATTCAAAACAATCCATTTAGAAATAGTCCAAGTTCTCATCCCATATAGTCTAAAAATCCAATTCATTCATACAAATATCTAAATCCAATTTATTCATACAAAAATCTAAAAAAAATATCTAAGTATCGTAAACGATAATCATTAAATTGCTAAATCTTTCCGATCAATCCCGTCTTCATCCAATATAATGTCTTCTTCACTCCAAACCGCACACAATAAAACTTTTATTGTTCTTTACCAAAAAAACCCATGTGATGATTTCGTTTCACTCCCATCCACAAGGAAACACTAATTCCCCTGTCAAAAAATAACTGACATTTGATATATTATATTAAATTTATTTCTTCTTTTTTTCAACAGCTACTACAGGGACTAGGTCTCCTTTGGCGGGCTTTCGGGTCGCTTTTGCCTATACTTCGGCTGGATTTATTTACAATATAATATTTAACACAAGTGTAAAATAAAACTCAAGCTTTACTTTCAAAACCGATAAAATATCCTAAAATACCTAAATTTAAAAAATATTTTTAACAAGTTAGGTTTCTAATTCACAAATGAATATTCAATCAATAGGAGCTCTATATTTTAACCAAAAAATATTACGGAAACCTGAAGATTTTTTTCATAGATGCTATAAAGGTTTGAACATCTATTAACGATATCTCGAGGTTTAGGTAATATCATCCATGCTAAAATCTTAATTTAAAATCGAATTCCGATATTCTCTATCTATTTTAATATTCTCTATATTCGTTTTTCGAAATGCTGTACACATGAATTGGCTTTCATTTTCAATATTACAAATTTAACGCATAAAACTGGTATAAACTTTTGACCGAAGTAATACCTGTTCATGTTATCCATTCTCCTGCATGGTTTACTAATTACCATATTGATTAATTCCCTATCCTTCTTAGTTTACAACTTTGTTATGGCTTTTTTAAAATTACATTAACCTAGTTTTTCTAATTTAAAATAAACCAAATTCAACCATTAATTTTATTAGGGGGGTTGAGCCTACCTCACCAGCTAATAGCCATAATTACCAGGAGTCTAATAACATAATTAAACATTTTTTATAGCTTTCTTAAATTTTTTATTGAAACATTTACATGAAGAATAAAAGTATAATTACTGGAACAAAGCTCTTAATAAAAAATTGAAACATTCGTAGAATATAATCTACTAAAACAATGATTTTTAGCCGAAATGTTGTATTATATGATTTTATCCAAAAAAAAAATTTCACGATAAAAAAAACCTTCCTTTTTACAGCATATTCGTAGAAACGAAAATTGGAAATTATTCGTATTAGTCTAAATTTCGTAATCTATCTCATAATAATCATACTCGTCAAAATAATAATCCCCTTCACTATTAGATTTTCTTATAATCACGTCTACATCTTCGAATTCGTTCCTGTAATACACGTGTCGCCAATCGAATTTGTGTAAGACTTCGGCATCGTAGTCATACTGCAAATCGTATTTTTTGTAATTGTAATCGAAATCGTAGTATTCCCAGTAAAAATAATTCAAGTAACACTTGGCTAATTCTATCCACTTTTTATCAGCATAATTAGATTCCTGTGTTAGCACTGATTCGCCCACCGTGGAAAAATTAAGCATGTTGTAAAATTTTGGCGGCAAAACGTCCAATTGATCTAATATGTTCACAATAATTCTTTTATCTGCTGGAATTATGGGCAGTATTTTTCGGAACTCACTTTGCTTCCAGGGAACATATATTAGCGGATCAAACTCTACACGTTTAAAAAACAAAGTGAGTTGTCTTATATAATTATCTTAGCAATTAATTTTATAATGGCACAAAGTTTACTTACAGTTATATTTATTATTAAAGGGATTATAAGTTATTTTTTTTAAAGGCAGGATGCCAATTTAAAGAACAACAAATATACCTTTTCGATTGTGAAAAGCTCGATACACTATATAAACGATTATGAAGAATAATAAAATTAATCCCACAGCAAGGGCTGCGCTTTTTATCTCAAATTTAATTTCCTTCGGTGTTTCGATTACACATAATTCACCTAAATATGTGGAAATAATACAAAAATATATATACACATTATCTCAAGATTAAAAAAAATGATTATATATAAAGAAGAAAGTTCTCTTAAATATAAGTTTAAGTTAATCCTTTTTTCCCCTTATCACACACCCTATCTCCTCAAAACTTTATACAAATTTATTACTTATAGTTATAAACAATAATTTGAAAGAAAAATAATGAAATTATATTTTTAAAAAAGTGATATATAACCAGAAGCCTATAATAAATGTATCTGTAGCCTCCAATAATTATGAGTTAAATTCGTGGTAATTTTAAAAAAAAATAAAATAACATACCTTTAGAAATTAGATTAATATCATGGTGGTCTATAGTGACTTTTCCTCCTATGGCCTTAGAACGCAAGTTAAAATCTAGGACTATGTAATTTGATATATCATACGTGGCATTATAACTCAAGGTTTTAAAGTAAAACACTAGTTGTATTTCCAGAGTATCTTCTCTATTCAAAGATTTGAAGAAAAAAAATATATTGCTCAATTTTGTAAAAAAGAGAATTTTATTACCGGTAAAAAGTAATACTGGTCACATAATAATCTGGAATATAATTTTTCAGGATATTGTGAATCTTTGGGTGTAGTAAAAAATTAAAGAAAATGTTTATACAAATTTATTTTCATCATTAAATTAATAATTGGTTCCAAGTTTACTTTGTTATATATATTTTTTTAAGTTTTTGAGTAAGATGTGAAATTTCCTGAAATGACTACTTACTCTCAAACACTTTTGGCACTTAGGAAAGCGGGGGGGGGGGGGGTTATGATGCAAGATCAAATTGAAGAGAGTAGCCAGCAGGAAGTCGTGAAGATGTTTACATCAATTGAATAATAGAAGAGAGGAGGGGGTCTATTGTGGTAAATAAGTGTAAAGAGAAAAGTGAAGAGTTGAGAATAATGTTGTATTATTAAGCTACCAAATAGTTTCATATAAATGTACTATGTTACATATTCTAGATCACATTTTAAAAATCGTTTACAAAATACGATTCGCTATACTAGTAACTTCAGGTTACATAAAATACACTTAGCTAAAAAAAAAAAATATATTATAATATGACTGAGGTTGAGTAAATTGATATCTGGCAAAAAAATTAATTATTTTTTTCATTATTATATATTGATTTTCTTTTTTTTTAAATTTAAATAATTAAAATCTTCACTTTCCGAAAAATAAATTTTTAAAAATTAAATTATAACAATGAATACAAAATAAGAGAGCCTTACTAAATAAAATATATAATAATTTCAATCTATAATCAATATAAAGATATGTAATTAAAGGAAAAAGGGAATTTAAAAAATATAATTTTAAGGATTATTTTTTTTAAAAAAAAGAAAATTTATATTTAGGCATGGTCGGCGGGGCTTAATGACCCATGTATGGATATGCAGTTGAAACGACAGATTTCAATTGATATTCTATGTCGAAGGTAGAAGCCTTCTTTGATCACCTGTGAATAAACGAAACCTTTGCCCTATTGTTTCGAATAATTTAAGGGCTTGGGGTTCAAATAATCCACAGGTGTCGCGAAGACCAATAGCTATGCCTAGATTAGAGCTAGGTATAGTTTTTAACCATTCATATCCAAGGTGGCATTTGGCTGGATTTATTTGATCAGAAAAAGTCGTATTGTAGTCATTATGTATACTTGGGGTTGGGTTTGGGTGGAGAAGAAGTGATGTCTTTAAACAGCTTTGAAGTGTAAGTATTCGATGCAAAATGCTATGGCAAATTCCAGTCTCTTTATCTTATAGAATTTGGGTATAGGCAGTTTAGGGTATTTTTGCTCCAGAGGTCTAATACCGTATGATATGGGTCGATATTATCCAAGTGTAAATCGAAATTTAACAAGAGAGGATAGAATTAACAAAACAAAAAAAATTAATGGCATTGGCAGGCATTGAATCGTGAATGGAGATTAAATTTGATTTGCGCTTAAAAAGAAAAATATTCATTTGAATCTCTATATTTTTATGAGATTTAAAAATATATATCAAATCCCGCTTTCGGTGAATAAAATAGATATACAGATCATAATTTTATTATAATTTTCATGGAGAGTTATTCTTAATCTATTCTATTTGTATGTCTTAAAGTTACATCTTCTTTATTTTCATTTATTTTTTCTTAGATTAGAAGTAATTTTCTCGAAGATCTTGTAATTTAGAAAATATAGCGAGGCCCCTAAAAGTTTCATTGAAGCCGTTGTTGACAAATTAACTCTATTTTTCTTATTACTATTATCAATTTATATTAAATAATGTAAATTTAAATTGGAAAGATATAATATGAAATTTGAATAAATTGTTATAATTGTTCAGTCATTGGCCTGATTTGCAATTAATATTGGTATTAAATTGCTGTTTTGCCTAGAAATAAACAGCTTTTGAATTAGGATACCCAATTTTGGTTTGTTTATTTT